AATTGATTGAATTTTTCCCTATAATTATATAGTTTTTATCAATAGTGATTTTAGTGATTCGTGGATTAATTACAGTCATAATAAAATAGAATTTTAATAATTATTTTGTAGTTAAAAATTTCATTAATTTCTTTGTCAATGACTTCTTCTTCTTTGTTGTGCCTTGTCCTTTCAGGGCATTGGCGACCATCGACCTCCACAAAACCCGATCTGTTACACTTTGCAGAAGTTGAAATGACATATCACGTATAATCTAATTATATATGTGTAATGTTATTTCATTGGTATATTTTCATATACCCCCAGACATACGTTTCGTGAAGTTAGCAGTACAATGCTAGATCAAATCAAAGAACAGATATCAAAAGATTTGGCCTATATGCAAAAATTAATCAATAAATGTAGTGAATTATCGCCCAAAGTGCCTACCAATACTTCTACAAGTTACGTCCTCAAAGAGAGCAGTGCTTTGGCTTGCTCCGATGAAGCCATTCCTGATAAAAAGTCAAAAATGACCTTTGATGGTATGCTCTGTGAGATTTATTTCTTGTGTTACTCTATTTTATCTTTAAACAATTCTTAGATGGTTTATGTTTGCAAAGTGTTTAAAAGAATTTTTATAATGAATTAAAGAAATCTTTAATGGGATAAAATTTGCATTCTTAATTCATTCATCCGTGCATTCGTTCTCTCGTTCATTCGTTTATACATTTATTCTTTTACCCATTCATCCATCCATCCATTCGTAACATCAACAATAACAACACATACATACACGTTAAAGATTCAAACCTAGTAGCAGCCGGAACGAGCACCACACAATCCACAAGTGGTCAGTTCAGCAGCGCTAGTGGCCACAGCAGCAACATCAGTGGTTTTGATTTTGAAAGGCAAGAAGATAATGTAGTCATTCAACCATTTCTTCATTCTGGTTTTAAGGTGGTTTTGAATGACGTTGATGACGATAATGATGATGAGGATGGTGATGATAATGATGATGAGGATGGTGATGTCATCAGTGATGATGTTTGGATTGATGATGATGTCATTATAATGATGATGACGATGACGGAGATGCTGATGATGATGACGATAATGGAGATGTTGATGATGATGTCATTAATAATGATGATGATGACGATAACGACGATGGTGTCTAAATCGATGAAGATGTTGATGATGATGTCATCAATGATGAAGATGTTGATGATGATGTCATCAATGATGAAGATGTTGATGATGATGTCATCAATGATGAAGATGTTGATGATGATGTCATCAATGATGAAGATGTTGATGATGATGTCATCAATGATGAAGATGTTGATGATGATGTCATCAATGATGAAGATGTTGATGATGATGTCATCAATGATGAAGATGTTGATGATGATGTCATCAATGATGAAGATGTTGATGATGATGTCATCAATGATGAAGATGTTGATGATGATGTCATCAATGATGAAGATGTTGATGATGATGTCATCAATGATGAAGATGTTGATGATGATGTCATCAATGATGATGACGACGATGGTGATTTTTAAAAATCAGTTCCCGGAGGAGACGAAAGGAAAAGTAGTTTACCACAACGAATTAAACGACGCGAAAGTGGAAGAGTTCAAGGTCGTCTTTGTCTTTTTTTTCACCCCACGTTTTGATTACGATCCACACATGGTGATGACGATGATGACGATCTTTATAATGAGTATGACGTTCGTTGCTGATAATGATGATA